GGTTTGATTTAGTGACCTTGTAACTTCGTATTGATCGATTTCCCATCCCCGTGTGTATTCGCCGGTCCCCAAATCTGTTACGCTTTTATTAAAACGCGATCTGAATGTATGCATGTTTACAGCTGATGAGACTATCACGAATTAGTTGAATTCAACACACATCCTGTGATCCCATGATGCTTCTTCAGAGTATCACATCACCGACTGTCGGTAGACCGTTTAGTTACAGTCCATCTTTGTTACACGTATGTTGGTTTTATCTACCTATCGGTCCTCTTTTGTTAGTAACCGTTTGCCGTGAAAACATGAGATCATGTTATTCAAGCAAGATTATCAAATGTTCCTCAATTTGTCATCTATATGATGAAACAATAACTCCCTCCCCCGGCCCATTATAAGTGGCAATAGGGTTGGAACCCTTTGCCATATAGAACATATTGACAGAAATTACCAATTAATTTTAAAAAGGGCGGATATGTGGAAGCTACAGCGTGACATGGACAAACCGCCAAAAAGACGCTTGTTACTTTGGCTTCGTGCGATGATGTATTGAACGCATATTGTGCAAAAATCCCAACCACGTTTTATCTGTGACGTCAAGAGGTTTCAGTATGCTTAACGCGAGTTAGGGTGTACACTGCAAAAACTGTAAGATTATGTGTACCTGTCGAAAGATTTCTGTATTTTCATATTACCCCAATATTACCAGTTTACGGAATTGTTTAGCATTTTTTTGGCCGGCCGGAGACCAAAGCTGTATCTATCCCCAGTGGCATTTCTGTTTTGACAAATCTGTAATGATTGGTATACGAAATGCGGTCGATTGAATAGCAGCAGGCAGCACACCTTGAATCTAAATGAAGAAAAACCCTGGGGAACCAGGATACTTTTGTCAACCAGTTCTAAAGGCTACTCTCACGATCCAACCTTATTTCACGAAAAAAAGAACAATAAATAAAATGGTTTCTTCGTACACGAAAAAGTGGTGGTGGTGGTGGTGGTGGTGGTGGTGGTGGTGGTGGTGAAACAATGGCGCTGTGTGGCTCAAAAACCAACAGAGATCGTGTATCCTAATCTCATTCCCACTATGTGACGTTCGAAAGTTGCTGTAACAAGTGTTTCCACCGGACTTCCTTCTACTTAAGGTATTATACAACATTATATAATCAAAAAGGATAAATTTCAAAGATTTTTGTTATTGAGTTTGGAGCTGGCGATGATAGTTAGTGTGGAGAGAAATTAACTTTGGCCGGCAGTAAACGGTCTGACAAAATTATTGCTAAACGTTGAAATTCTGTCACCTGGTGTTCAATATTGTGGCTATCGCAGTAAATATAATCAATGTACATAAGTAACTGTAGTATTTAAGGTGGAAATACTAACGAATTCAACTTCTCTTCCTCAGAATCTGCGAAGTGATTGGAATAACCAACGGACTAACTGGAATAAAAGAAATGAATTTACATCTTCACCACACAATATTCTCCTGAATTATAGAACATATGGCTATTCAATTTCGAATTCCTTGAAAGATGCGTTTCATATAACAGCAAAGTTATCTGTGTTCACATATTCTTAGAAAAGCCTGCGATACGGCACAGATTTCATTTTATTCGTTAGTCATCATCGCCCATGTTGGCTAACTGTGATGGTCGGACTTCTACTCTGACTCGAACAGGGAGCATTTCAGTTGGACCGAATACCCACTCAATATATCTCAGTCAAGTGCAAACAATGCGATCTCAGCATGTGGTTAAATCTACCCAGAAACCTTTAATGATTTGGTTGTTGGATGATAAACTGATGCAGTAAATTACTAGAAAGGGAAATGGAAGTCTGTCATCCATAGTACGTGTGGTCAATGCAAAATGAATGGAGTTGAGAATGAATTTTGAAAGAATTTTGAATCCATGCATAAAAATGTCAAAATTGCGACAACCCATCAAATCAACTGCGATTATTTTAGGTGACAGTAATTTCCGGATCATCTCTTGTTTTCATATTGACTTTTCATAAATCACCCTGGAAAATTGCCCATTGATACCTGACCGGTTGCACGATGCTAAACTGAATCAAACTGTTTTCCTTGGCTGAAACCAGTGGCATACCATAAGATTGTCTGATAGTTTAAGCCCAAATGAATTGCTTTTTAATCAAAGGAACCATGGGGCCAAAGCAAACGCAATCTCTTGAGGCAACTGAACGGTTCGTTCAAGTTTCATCGCGTTTATTGTTGTAGCTTGAATCACACATGATGTGCTTCAGTCGTTTTCAAGTATCATTTGGTATTTTGGCCTGTCGATAATCGGGGTCAATTACGTGGGATTTCTTCACCTGTGATTAGGTCTCACTCCGTTAACATTTCAGCGTCTGATTGGCATTCCGGGAACAAAACCAGTTTCCATTCCAATCGTAACATTCTGGGCTCGGTAAATCATCAGCACTGTTATTCGTGTGGAAATCACGATGTCCAATCAACAGCCTCCCTTGATGACGCCCTAGGTAAAGTAAAAGAACACCATACGTTACCCTTGATCAGGTATTGACATGAAATGATCAAATGATCAAATGATCAATGATAGCACACACCGGGACATCCACGATATACAGTGGTCTCTCCCAGTGGCCTCTACCTCGTCTGCTATCAGCATACATTCACCCACTCACAGTATGCTATCCATATATGGAATCCATGGCTGCAACGTGATTTCAAAATGCTGTAGCGTCCACAAAGGATGACCATCAAAATGGTTAGGGAGCTAGATCCCTATTCATACGCAAAGAGACTAGAGTCGTTGTGGTTATATTTCAATCATCAGAAGAGACATGATTATGGTATACCAAATATTTGCAAAACCCAAAGCGTCCGTGTCATTTGCTGCTAACATTATTACCCAAATTAGTGATCTCAGAATAACCATTGGAATGCTGATGTCAGTCATTCGCAGTCAGAGTGTGTTTGATCTGGAACTCTCTCCCACTCCACGTCGTCTGTGCGACAAGCATGGAATCTTTTAAATTGAGACTCGGTAAAGCATTAGCACACCTTACATTTCAAAACAAGTGAAGACGCGTGCAGCATTGGAAGAAGCATGCGTCATGCGACATTTTACACAAGGAATTCTTTGTACCACTGTTTTTTAATAACTACACGAACTCATGGGAGGAGAAAAGCATGGGCTTTTAAGTTATCCCCATAATAAAACTTTGAACTTTGAAACGCTCTGTGTGGAGAGAACGTAGCCGTTATGCTCTCATACGCTGGAGTTTTCTGCACTCTAACCTACTGTTTTCTTTTAGCGAGTTGGACAATTTTATTGTTTGATAGCGTCAAACGTTCTGCAGCTAGATCGAATTGGTTCTGTGGTTTCACTGAAGGCAGAGAGTGTAGCTATTTCAAGCACTATTTAAGTGACATAATCTGGAGAGCCGAAAACATTCTTGTGAAAAATAGATGTACAGCTTCCAATACTTTCTTATACATCACAAAATTATTCACTCAGGTCCTGAAGCAGTAGAAATGATGAAACCGCACCAATGGTTTGTACGGGAGCAAATTAATCCCGATTCCCTTAACACCGCTGCTCTTCTCAGTAGAAACAATACACCTTTTATCATTTGTAGTCACTTTGGCAGAACTAATTTAACTGGGATGAGTCATGCATTTACAAACAACATTACGAATTTTGTTTTATATCGGAACCTAGCTTTGGATGGGTATTATCACTTATGATTGACAGGTTATACGGAGGTTGAGTGGTGAGAGTCACTGAACTGTTTAGGAAAGGATCTTTTTTGCTGAATTGCACTGGATTGTGTTGCCAATTGGCCTGTCAGTGACTTTTACATTGTCTGAAGAGAGGAAGGAAGTCCTCCAGTTAGGTTTTCGTTATAAGCGATGGAAATTAGTGACCATTGCACCAAGTCTTGAAGAAATCCTTATTACGCAATGTATAATTGCAACAGTTTTGGGGATTTTGAAACTTAAGTTTATATAGATGTTTACTGTAAAACCTCTGGTATTTTACTATAATTTTGTAGCCAATGATATTCCAACAAATCACACCCCTTGTATCCATCTTTACACAAACTACGCTATTCTCGGCAGGCATGAAAAACAACTGCGTTCGAAAGGAGGTGGAAAAACTCCGGAACCCCTAGTTCCCCGGATCGTCACTTCTTGTGTGGATGAGATTGAACGACGCGGGCTGAAAGAGGTCGGTCTGTATCGGATATGCGGGGCGAATTCTGACATTCAAACAATGATCACATTGTTCAACCAAGGTAAGCTGCAGTTGATCAGAAGCTCGCAACGCTCATTGAGTTTTTGAGCATGAGATACAGTAAAGGGTATGTCTGTCTTCCTCTCTGGTGTTTCTTCGTTAGCTTGAAGACGGACAGAGTGAGTTAAAAGGTGAAGTTATCTAAAATCACGAAGGAATCTCTAACTTTTAATTTTTCTAAACACTGCATTAATCCTACAAAGGAGAGCCTTCCAGTGAGTGAGCGTCAGGTAATCCAGATTGTGATATGTGTATTATTCACTAATATTACTTTAATGGAACCGTAAGGGTTGTTCTTTTGGGACACAGAGATGTTAATGCTTCATCTCCGCCAATTCCGTAACCAGGAAATTGGATCTGATCGGAATCTTAAATTCCCAATTGTCAGTCACTGAGATGTGGCTTAAGACAAAAGAATTTCTTTTGTTTGCTACAAACACCTAACAGAACAGCACACTGGAATAAGCACTGTGGAAACTGATACACAAACATGGGCGCTCTTGGTATTACTCAGGTTAGTGGTTATTAATATATTAAATAATACCTACTATTTGAAGTTGTTCGATCGCGAAACCTTTATGGTGCACTTTTGTCGACATATATCAATATGAAACGCATTAACCACATACAGGATTCTCAATAGTGCACTGACTTGACTTTTCATCATCACTGGACAACTGGGGAGAAAAAGTGGCTTCACGAACCTCATGCGGCTTCTTCGGAGAGTGGTAGAAGAGACATGCTCAGTGAGATCAGCTCTTTCAGCAAGCTGCTGCAAGATTGGCTAGCTCAACGGACACAAAACCTGTGCCTGTTTAGAGGGAATATTGCCACAAAACTCCGAGTAACTACCATCTGGGGATAGAACGAAGAGCGCCAGTTGATATAGAGAATAATTCGTTCAACTGCACTATTGATACCGACTTTCGTTCGTCCTAAACATAAAATAAGGAGAATTGTGCTCAAGTATTCACAACTATATCTGGGCCGCATCTGTATGCTACCTTTCCCTATCCCCTATTCAGAATCAGACCTGGGATCACAGAGGGAAATAAGAAATTTAGTGATTCCCATCAATTTATCTTATCACTTGGTTCGGGTTTTTCATAACATAACACAGATTAGATTCGAGGCTGTATTAGCACATGATCGTCTACCGATAACTTTCTCATCCAGGTAGCAATTGCACAGGTAGTGAATAGAACAAACATGGAGGTTGAAATGAATTTCGTTATACGGAATAAAAGCGAACGGACATTTAGAAGAAGTTATGAACACTTGGATGCAAAACGAAAGGTTGAAAGGATTTGCTGTTTATCATTTCCATTGGCAGAAGTTTCTGATTGATAATGAATACGCAATAACAATAATTGAAGCGGATATCAGTGGTTTCATCCTTCAAGACGGAGTTATCTAAAATATTTTTAGGTACCTATTTTTAGACATGTGTAGGGCTCTCCAAATAAAAGACAAAGCGTTTTACTTATTCAGTACGGATTTTCAATCAAGGTTATTCGATTTCCCACACCTTTGAACCAGGAATTATGTTTGCTGTAGTTTGAAATATCTGTGCATTGCTTCCCACGTCTCAGTTCACGATCCTTTTCTCTCTGTAGAACAGGTTTTAGTTTGGAAGCAAGCATACTTTGTTTGCAAGAAAAACCACATTACTCGAGTTTTTGGAACAAATAGAAAAAACACATTATTTAACGGATTAGGTTAATTGTCGATCAACTTCTCCTTATTAAGAAGAACTTCAATAGTATCAATCTTTTTCTAAGTGAGTCATTGCACCCTATATACTTACACATTTGCCAATTCACAGATCAAGAAGAAGCAATAGGACGCTTACCGACCTTGGAAATCTCGGTTATCGCCAGTGTGCTCAAACAATTTTTCCGTGATCTCCCAGAACCACTGCTCACCGACGAAGGTTCAGTGGCTTTGATGGCGGCCGTTGGTGAGTGCAATATAGTTTTCCAAATTAGCGTAACAATCCATACCATACCGAGTNTATTCGTAGAAATCGATCACTAGTCATACCATAACCTTTTGATCAGAGGATTACCAGAAAATTAGCGAAAGTAATAGGGTCGCCGGACCGATATTGATGTTTTACGTCGCGTATGTATATAGCATCGATTTACTCCCAGGGGGCAGGCTGTCTGATCCAGAGTATGCAGACGATATTGTGCTACTAAGTGAAAATCCAGGTAAGCTTTTCTGGATAACTTGAATGCCAGTGTAGCCATATTCGGTATGCGTTTTGCACCTTCAAAGTGTAAAATGTTAATGCACCCAGCCTCACTCTAACTGGGGAAGTAATAGAGCAGGTGCGTACGTTTTGTTATTCGGGCAGCTACATCTCACCATCTCACATCTCACGAATCACGGATGAAGTGTCTGCTCGCATACAGAAGGCTCGGTTGGCATTTGACAATTTGAGACATCTGTGTCGCCGTCGCGACATCCGGAT